GTGGGTTCAAGTCTCAGTTTATTCCGTTTTTTTTGCCTTTATAAATAGTGAGGCAAAGCAATACAAAAATCAAAGTCTAATTGTTTGTGACCTCTTTCCAAGCTGCTAATGACGTAGAACATATCGGCCATTGAGAAGAACGGAAATATAAGAAATTGCAAACCTGTTTGGGAATAAAAATTTCGCACCCGGGCAGCTTGACCGGATGCACCTGCTATTTCCTTATTTATATATGCTTTCTATTGATTTTGTCTCAATTCATGTTTGTTATATTGTTGTATTTATGTGACTTGATTTGCCAAATAAAATAACAATAATAATAACTGTCAAATTAACAAGGGAGAGAGGATAAAACAGTATCATTTGCTAACCTACCCCACCCCGGCGACGTAAATTAGGGTGCAAAAAGTGAATCTCACGCTGAAATAAATGGATCACCATTGGCTCAGATTCCCCCCCCCCCACACCAAGATTTCTGTTTTTGCTTCTGATTCTGTTTCTGACGCATTTTAGGCTTTTCTTACAGCATATCGCATTAAGTTTTTCTTAATTGGCAAACGAGTAACGGTACTGTTGTGCAAATTTCTTCTACAATGTTAACGAATGAGAAATTAACTTGAAAAGGAATTTAAATTTACTTTACTTACACTGTACCAGGTCATGCATATTGAGAGGATAAAACATTATGACTAATACGGTATCTATATAGCTGAGTATCTCATGAATACATAGAGACTCACATGAAAGTAGCTTTATAAGATAAGAAAATGAGAAAGAATGTTTCTGCTATGCATAATTTCCTCAGTAAATGGAAATGTCATTTCTTTTTCTTCCTTCAGGGAAATTTAATTTCTTAATATTTATCTCCAGCATTTTGTAGGAAATATGGTTTCTTTTTTGTTATTTGAATATCCAGTTTTTCTTTGAATCTGAAATTACATTTCATTTCATAATAAGTGAATAGCGCATCAAAGCGGGACTGCACTGCTTGTAGGTACTTGCGCCCTCTGTATAGCAAACAATTCCTAAGCGGTACCCGTTGGTCCCCCATGATCCCTGTTTTCTGTTAATTGAGAGCTGATTTGATGAGATGATCACCTGTCAGTCACCACGCAGGGAATTCGTCCTGGTCAAACTAGTGCAGAAGGCTTTAAGTTTCATTTGCTCAAACAGACCCTATCCCTCTCTTTTATTATTTTTCTGAATGTATGTATCACAAATGCACATAATGTATCTATCACATTCTCACCTCATCATTCTTTCTTAGCTCTTACCACACCCCCTTTCTCTATTTCTCTCTCTCTCTCTCTCTCTCTCTCTATTTCTCTCACTCTCTCTTTCTTATTCGGCCATCGTCAATATCCCCCATATTGCTGTATTTTTCTCATTTCTCTATTGAATTGAAAGAAAATGCTAAGTAGGAACTATTAATACATCAGTTTGCTCTTATGTTTATATATGGCATATGACAATTAATAGAACAATTATGTAATGATTATCAATTATCAATACATTCTCCTGATCTTTTACTTGTATTTCATCATCTCGCACATTATTCTCTTCTGTTTTTCTAGATTTGATTAATATCTATTAATATTATTGAGTTTTTATACTTGAATGGAAGAACACTCTTTTTATCTTTCTATTTGAAAAAAGGTGAAAGAAAACTTCAAAAAGCATGCAATAAGTAAACTTTATTTGAAGGAAAAAAATGAGATTATGTGATCCATTTTACTATCCTTTCCCTGTACACAATGTCATTCTTCTAAAAATAGTTTGATGTACTCATTCTGTGTGTTTCTTTTGATTTAGCTTTAAAAAAAAAGCCCATTAAGGTCTAAGCGTATATACATTGATGACATACCATCATGATGTTAAAGTACTGAACATAAGTAATACTTCAATTAAACATGTTGATATTACTATTCACTTTATTCAACCTGTCCTGTCACATCATCAGACTGAGAAGCTAACGCATTACCTCTCTATAAGCACTAATTCTATAAATAGTAGTTTGCAAGTTTTTTTGAAATAATTTATTGTCATGAGTCAGAAGCATGCTCATATCAATATGATAGTCTGACCATGCAGACAAAATAGAAGTGAATCATATGGGAATAGACTGGACTTTATTGTGACAAAGTATTATTGATATACATGTGTGGTTTAGGAAAATATTTATAGTTTGTCAATAGTCTCAAGGAGATATTACATGTACACTGTAGATAGAAAGAAATAACAATCTTTATTCTGCTTCAACAGACATTCTCTTTTTTCTACCAACTATTCATAATTAATCACATTTGACTTTCTTCATCTCATGTTTCTTTTCTCTTACCACACCCATTTCTCGTTTGACCTTTGCTCTCTCTCTCTCTCTCTCTCTCTCTCTTTCTCTTTCTCTGTCTATCCTCTTGCTTTAAAAGCCTAAGTAGAGTTTAATGATGTTACATGAATGACAATGAAAAATATTGTCCTGTCCTGTCCTGTCCTGTCACATCACCAGATTGAGGAGCTAGATCACAAGTCGGCATATCTGGGTTCTGTTGCATCCTCTCATTTCGCAAGATGTCTCTGCTCCATGCCTCATCTTCGATCACTGAAGCTGTCAGATGTAGTGCTGAGTGATGAGTTCTACTCAACGATGGCCTCTGAGGCATCAAAATCAAAGGTATACCCAAACACACGATTTGTATTGAAAACAATTTTTTTTCCCCAATAGTTTTGCAATCTTCAGACTGAACATATGTGGATAAATGTATTTCACATTAAAACAAAAAGTAGAAATAATTAATTGACATTAGTCACAATTATCCTCATATAAATGTAAAACTCATACAATACTGATAATAAGAAGCATGAGTCATGTGAATAGACTAGATTTTAATGTCATTATGATATAAATTCATATAAATGTGTGTTTTTAAAGCATGTACCTTTAAAAAGAATTTTGCATTTTTGTTTTTAGAAATTATTTATAGTTTGTAAATAGTCTCAAGGAGATATTACATGTACACTGTAGATAGAAAGAAATAGCATCTTTATTCTGCTTGATAAGATACTCCCTTTCTTTTCTAACTATTCATAATTAATCACATTTTGTTTGTCTTTCTTCATCTCGTCTTTCATTGCTCTAACCACCCCCATTTCCCTTGGACCTTTTAGCCCCTCTCTATATCTCTATCGCTCTGTCTGTCTCTCTCCCTCTCTCTATCTTTCTCTATATCTCTTTCCCTCTCTCTATCTCTCTCTATATCTCTCTCCCTCTCTCTATAAATGTCCCTCTCTCTCTAAACTTCTCTCTCTGTCTGTCTGTCTCTCTATCTCTCTCCCTCTCTCCATATATCTGTCTCTCTCTTTCTCTATCTCTCTGTGTCTGTCTGTCTATCTCCCTCTGTCTGTCTTTTTTTCTCTCTGTCTGTCTTTCTCTCTCCTTCTTTCGCTTTCTCTCTATCTCTCTGTCTCTCTCTGTCTGTCTCTCTCCCCCTCTCTCTCTCTCTCTCTATCTCGATCTCTCTGTGTCCGTCTTTCTCTCTCTCCTTTTCTCTTTCCCTCCTTTTCTCTTTCCCTTCTTTCCTCTTTCCCTTCTTTTCTCTTTTCTTTGCTTTAAAAGTCTAAGTAGAGGTTAATGATGTTACATTAATGACAATGACAAATATTTAAATAAGTTGTGTCATCTATTCTTGATATCACTAATCACTCTATTCAACCTGTCCTGTCACATCACCAGATTGAGAAGCTAAAGCAAGACTACACAGAACTGGATTCTGCTGCGTCCTATCATTTCGCAAGATGTCTCTGCTCCATGCCTCATCTTCGATCACTGAAGCTGTCAGATGTAGTGCTGAGTGATGAGTTCTACTCAACGATGGCCTCTGAGGCATCAAAATCAAAGGTATACCCAAACACACGATTTGTATTGGAAACAAATTTTTTCCCCAATAGTTTTGCAATCTTCAGACTGAACATATGGGGATAAATGTATTTCACATTAAAACAAAAAGTAGAAATAATTAATTGACATTAGTCACAATTATCCTCATATAAATATAAAACTCATACAATACTGATAATAAGAAGCATGAGTCATGTGAATAGACTAGATTTTAATGTCATTATGATATAAATTCATATAAATGTGTGTTTTTAAAGCATGTACCTTTAAAAAGAATTTTGCATTTTTGTTTTTAGAAATTATTTATAGTTTGTAAATAGTCTCAAGGAGATATTACATGTACACTGTAGATAGAAAGAAATAGCATCTTTATTCTGCTTGATCAGATACTCCCTTTCTTTTCTAACTATTCATAATTAATCACATTTTGTTTGTCTTTCTTCATCTCGTCTTTCATTGCTCTAACCACCCCCATTTCCCTTGGACCTTTTAGCCCCTCTCTATATCTCTATCGCTCTGTCTGTCTCTCTCCCTCTCTCTATCTTGCTCTATATCTCTTTCCCTCTCTCTATCTCTCTCTATATCTCTCTTCCTCTCTCTATAAATGTCCCTCTCTCTCTAAACTTCTCTCTCTGTCTGTCTGTCTCTCTATCTCTCTCCCTCTCTCCATATATCTGTCTCTCTATCTCTTTCTCTATCTCTCTGTGTCTGTCTGTCTTTCTCTCTCTGTCTGTCTTTCTCTCTCCTTCTTTCGCTTTCTCTCTATCTCTCTGTCTCTCTCTGTCTGTCTCTCTCCCCCTCTCTCTCTCTATCTCTCGATCTCTCTGTGTCTGTCTTTCTCTCTCTCCTTTTCTCTTTCCCTCCTTTTCTCTTTCCCTTCTTTCCTCTTTCCCTTCTTTTCTCTTTCCCTTGCTTTAAAAGTCTAAGTAGAGGTTAATGATGCTACATTAATGACAATGACAAATATTTAAATTAGTTGTGTCATCTATTCTTGATATCACTAATCACTCTATTCAACCTGTCCTGTCACATCACCAGATTGAGGAGCTAGATCACACGTTGATATTTAACACGTGGGCATATGTGGATTCTCCTGCAGCCTCTCATTACGCAAGATGTCTCTGCTCCATGCCTCATCTTCAATCACTGAAGCTGGACGAGGTGGAGCTGAGTGATGAGTTCTACTCAACGATGGCCTCTGAGGCATCAAAATCGAAGGTATACCCAAACACACGATTTGTATTGGAAACAATTTTTCCCCCCAATAGTTTTGCAATCTTCAGACTTAGAAAATGTTGATAAATGTTTTTTCACATTAATTGTTTATATATTCTTTTATTTATTATCATTAGTCACTGTTATCCTAATATGAGTATAATGCCCTTACAATACTGATAATAAGAAGCATTGGTCATGTGAATAGACTGGATTTTAATTTCAAAATGATATAAATTCATGTAAATGGGAATATCCTATAAAATAGAATTTGGCATTTTTCTAGAAATTATTTATAGTTTGTCAATAGTCTCAAGGAGATATTACATGTACACTGTAAATAGAAATAAATAACATCTTTATTCTGCTTGAACAGAGACTCTCATTTTCCAACAATTTATAATTGATCACTTTTGTTTGTATTCATCTTGTCTTTCATTGCTCTTACCACACCCATTCCCCATGGGCTTTTTAGCCGCTCTCTCTCTCTCTCTCTGTCCCTCTTCTCTCTCTCTCTCTCTCTGTCCCTCTTCTCTCTCTCTCTTTCTCTCTCTCTCTCTCTCTCTCTTTCTCTTTCTCTCCTTTTCCCTTTCTCTCCTTTTCCCTTTCCCTTGCTTTAAAAGTCTAAATAGAGGTTAATGATGTTACATCAATGACAATAACACATATTTAAATTAGACATGTCGTCTATACTTGATATCACTAATCACTCTATTCAACCTGTCCTGTCACATCACCAGATTGAGGAGCTAACGCACTTGAATGCAGATCTGGGTTCTGGTGCATCCTCTCATTACGCGAGATGTCTCTGCTTCATGCCTCATCTTCAATCACTACATCTGGACAGTGTAAAGCTGGGTGATGAGTTCTACTCAACGATGGCCTCTGAGGCATCAAAATCGAAGGTATACCCAAACACACGATTTGTATTGGAAACAATTTTTTCCCCCAATAGTTTTGCAATCTTCAGACTTAGAAAATGTTGATAAATGTTTTTTCACATTAATTGTTTATATATTCTTTTATTTATTATCATTAGTCACTGTTATCCTAATATGAGTATAATGCCCTTACAATACTGATAATAAGAAGCATTGGTCATGTGAATAGACTGGATTTTAATTTCAAAATGATATAAATTCATGTAAATGGGAATATCCTATAAAATAGAATTTGGCATTTTTCTAGAAATTATTTATAGTTTGTCAATAGTCTCAAGGAGATATTACATGTACACTGTAAATAGAAATAAATAACATCTTTATTCTGCTTGAACAGAGACTCTCATTTTCCAACAATTTATAATTGATCACTTTTGTTTGTATTCATCTTGTCTTTCATTGCTCTTACCACACCCATTCCCCATGGGCTTTTTAGCCGCTCTCTCTCTCTCTCTGTCCCTCTTCTCTCTCTCTCTCTTTCTCTCTCTCTCTCTCTCTCTCTCTTTCTCTTTCTCTCCTTTTCCCTTTCCCTTGCTTTAAAAGTCTAAATAGAGGTTAATGATGTTACATCAATGACAATAACACATATTTAAATTAGACATGTCGTCTATACTTGATATCACTAATCACTCTATTCAACCTGTCCTGTCACATCACCAGATTGAGGAGCTAACGCACTTGAATGCAGATCTGGGTTCTGGTGCATCCTCTCATTACGCGAGATGTCTCTGCTTCATGCCTCATCTTCAATCACTACATCTGGACAGTGTAAAGCTGGGTGATGAGTTCTACTCAACGATGGCCTCTGAGGCATCAAAATCAAAGGTATACCCGAACTCAATTTATATTGGAAGCAATTTTCTTTTCCCCCAATTGTTTCGCAATCTTTAAACTGAATATGTGTGGATAAATGTTTTTCACATTGACAAAAGAAAATCAGAAATTATTTATTATTATCACCTGTTTAGCTCATATAAATATAATACTCTTAAAATATTGATTATAAGAAGCATGATTTATGTGAATAGACTGGATTTTAATGATATAATGGTATAAATTCATATAAATGCATATTTTTAGAGCACACATCTTTCAAATAGTTTTTAGCATTATATTTTTAGAAATTATCTATATAAGCACGAGTCTTGTGAATAGACTGGATTTGAATGCCATAATGATATAAATTCATATACATGCGCATTTTTAGAGCATGTATCCTATAAATAGAATTTTGCATTTTGTTTTTTGAAATTATTTATAGTTTGTCAATAGTGTCAAGGAGATATTACATGTACACTGTAAATAGAAAGAAATAGCATCTTTATTCTGCTTGAACAGACACTCCCTTTTTTAAATAACTATTCATAATTCATTATTTTTTTTTCTTTCTTTATCTTGTCTTTCATTATTCTTATCACCCCATTTCTCTTGGTTTTTTTTAGCCCCTCTATCTCTCTCTATCTCTATCTCCTTCTCTCTCTCTCTCTCTCTCATTTTCTCTGATCCTCTCATTTCGTCTTTTACTTTATTTAGAAGTCTATTTAGAGGGTAATGATGTTTACATTAATGACAATGAAAAATATTTAAATCAGACATGTCGTCTATACTTGATACTACTATTCACTCTATTCAACATGTCCTGTCATATCACCAGATTGAGGAGCAAAAGCACAGGTACGCAGATCTGGGTTCTGCTGCATCCTCTCATTACGCGAGATGTCTCTGCTCAATGCCTTATCTTCAATCACTGGAGCTGTCAGGAGTAGAGCTGAGTGATGAGTTCTACTCAACGATGGCCTCTGAGGCATCAAAATCAAAGGTATATCCAAATACTATTGTTTTTGCCCCAACAGATTTTGCAATCTTTTAACTTAACATATGTGGATAAATGTTTTTTCACATTAAAAAAATTAGAAATAATTTCCTATCATTAGTCACTATTATGCTCGTATCAATATAATACTCTTACAATACTGATAGTAAGAAGCATGAGTCATGTGAATATACTGGATTTAGTGTCATAATGGTATACATTCATACAAATGGTTGTTTTTAAAACATGTATTCTATAAATAGAATTTTGCATTAAAAAAATATATATTTATAGTTTGTCAATAGTCTCAAGGAGATATAGCATGTACACTGGAGATAATGTGATTTGAAATGGTGTTGTTAGTAAAGACAATAATTAGTTTGCATCGTGGATTTCACTTTGGTGTGAACTGATAAATTGTCTTGGCACAGATCCAGACGCTGAGTATGAAGGATGTTTCCATGATGACTCCACGGAGACTACACTCCATTCTCTCGCTACCACACCTCCAGTCACTCACCTTGTGGGATATCAAACGAGTTGACATGGACGATGGAGATATCGAGACACTGGTATGTACCTTTACTATTCCAAGATTGAAGTCAAAATCTTTGTTCCAAGCTCAAAAGGAAAGGGTTCGGAAAAACCAAACAGACTAAATATGAATGATAAAGGAATTGCCAAAAGGATAATGCATTTTGTTTTGAAATCAAGTTAAAATTTACATACTACGGGCTGTTTAGTAAATCGATGGATGGTTTTTATATATCAAACATGCACAGTTATAGTTTTTTCAACTTGGGATGAAGTTTAATCTTGCACATATTTGTTAAACCTCATTAATTATCGATTGATCAATGATTGCATTTGTTATTTCCTATTGAGAATCATGTTGCTTATTTTCTTAATCATCAAATTTGTAACTTTCAGTAATGTGAAGTCATTTTATTGATTTTTTTTTGTTAGTCTAGCTGAACTAATATCACAATAAAAAAGATGATCACAAAAAAAGACGAATATCACAATAAAAAAAGATGATAATGAATACAAAAATCCTGTCATCTTCCACTGAAAAAGGGGTATTAACCCTCATTAATAATAATAATGTTGGTGGAAAAACAAAATAAAAAACTTTTTAACAAAGGTTTCAGAAAAAGCGGACAAAGAATATCGCCAATGAGATCAGGATGTGTTATGCCATACAGGGGGAAATCCTCTTAATATTTTCTATCAAAAATACAAAAAAATATCTTTTCCAAAGTCTTATGATAGACAAACCTCTATTTAAATGGATGGCAATACACGTTTAGGCCTAATGGAACATAATTTGCTGGATCACTAAAATGGAAAACGGAGGTATTTTTAATATTTTGGAAAAAGAAATCAGTTATACAGGTAGTTCATCAGGGCCCTGTCTTACAAAGAGTTGTGTTTGATCCAAATCAATCGCAAGTTTGCAATCTCCTATCTCTTTTGTACATAGTATATAAATATTGACTGCTCATGAGGATGATGGTGGGAATTATCACTCCCAGGGTGGTGTTTGTACCGGCCCTTCTATCAGCACCCCCGAGGTGATAGAAGGGCCGATATGAACTCCACCGAGGGAGTGATAATTTCCTCTACCATCCGATTACAGAGCAGTCTATATTTATTTTATATACCTCATCCTTTTCATTGATTCATGAATAGGTCTAGAAAATAAATCTTATATCAAGAGTCTATATGCTCACCACAGTAATATATTAACAGTATTTTGAAGCACAAAACAGTATACAAATGATGCACAGGTTTGAGTGCGTCGGTAGGAAATGTGTGCACAAGGCACCTTTGAATGGTTTTAGACCAAATTCAAAGGTACCACGTGCACACAATTCCACCGACCCACAAATTAAACCTGTGCATCATCTGTTTTATAAAATAGGGCCCCCCAAAATCGTCAAAAATACAAAAATCTGTTATTTTACAAATTTACCGGGTGCATGGCAAATCATGCTTTCCAGTAATTACCGGACGCATGATTTTGCCATAGCCATGCTTTCCGGTAATTACCGGAAAGCAGGATTTCATGAAACTTATCATGAAATTAAATTTTAAAAAAATTTGTCAGTTTACTCTAAACTCTCATTTTTTTTAAATTAAAACATTATTAAAAAAAAGTGTTAGTTTGCCATCGCCTGAAAAAAAAGGTGATTATTTGCTTTATATTCCACATCGGAAACATTTCACTTCTTCCGTCATTTTAGAGCAACAAGTCATCAATTAACAGCTAGCAAACGGTGTACGATACGATAGTATGGTGGTGTGACCCAGTTCGCGTACCAACACTAAAAGCGCTTAAAGAGGAGAGCAGTACGCAGCGTATACAATTAAAGTGCGTTGTACTGTGTAGATAGTAGTTCTATCTTCAGTGAAAGTGCATTGCACTGTGTAGATAGTACTACTATCTACACAGTGCAACAAATTTTTCTTCTCCCTTCAATGATGGGCAAACTATCGTTCATCACGTGATTTACTTTTGACCAATCGTAGAGCAAGATTCTTAGTATGTGGAATATAATTTCAAATATCCAACGCTAAAAGAAATCCAACATACGGACATCCAATCTATACATGTTTACAGGTACTGCAGTAAGGCAATGCAGTTACTGCGGCCCAGCGTAAATTGCATGGCTTGAGAGCGCATTTGAAATCTTGTACGCTGTGTTTTTGCGCAAAAGTCGCGGAGGGGTTATGAGTTCTATCACAGGGTTTGATAGTAGCTATCAAACCCTCTGACGCAATGATAGATCAAAATGCTCCTTGTCAGTTGTCATGAGATATAGTTTTGAGCAATCAGTGAATGACAATCTATGTATGAGGTATATAATTGCGATTAATATAAACTCTTTGTAAGACAGGGCCCTGGAACGGCATATCGCATGTGACTGTAATGCCAATAGAAGATTCTTGATATCAAAGCTCAAAACTTTTGTATTCTTTGTCCATTTTCCCCAAACCTACCTGTTTGTTTATTTCTACTTTGGAAACTTACATTGAAATTATGAAAACCCTTTAGGTTTTATTATTGTATATTTGTGAATTAATTTACCAAGCATGATATGAACAGTAAAAGTATTATATTAACACAATAATGTGTCTGGATATTCAATATCATTTCTTACATCAGCGTGGGTTTCCATTCATATCATATATAGTGAGCCTTTTTGCATCGCTGTTTCTTGTAGACTCGTCAAACATCCTCAGTAGATGAGCTTTCTGTGAATGGTAATGAGATCAGCCTGTGGAATCTTGGACTTCATACAGCATGTCCCCTAGTGAAAAAACTCGAACTGAACTACCGGAACAAGGAGAATGTCTCATCAGGAATCTTCACCATGGCCTGCTCTCCATTCCGTCATCTAACTCACCTTCACATCCAGGTAAACCAGAGGTATGCATTTACTCCACTGAATGATCCTGTGTCATTTTGTGATGCGGTTAAAACATCATGTCCTCGACTCACCAAGCTGTCCTTTACCTTTATTACACTGAACAACGAGACGGCAGCCGAGATCATCCAACTCATGAAGACTCATCCACACCTGACAAGCATAGAGTGAGTCTAATTTGATTTAACAGGGTAATGATTGCCACAGTATAATCAAAATATTACTTGTATTTATCGTGGAATGCATTTCGGTTTACCTCATACTCTGAGTTTCTTCTCTTCCATTGCTACCTCTATCTCTCTCTCTCTCGCCCACCCCTCTCGTTTAATTATTTTTTCTTTCTCTTTACTAAGTTCTCTTTTGATCCCTTTCTCCCACTCTCTTTCCAGCATTTACTCTCTTTCCAGCATTTCCTCTCTTTCAATCTCTTTATCATTGCCTCTTTCGCTATCATACAACGACTTTTTGTAAAAAAAAAGATGGTTTAAAGTATTTTACTGCACAATACAAACCTGTAAGCATATAACTTATGCTGTATGCTTACATGGTATTGATACAAATGGGATACCTGATTAGGTTTGATCTCATGAGAAGAAAACTAGCGTTGATTTAACACAGTTGGTTCTTGATATCAAAAGTAAATTGAATTAGCAAAACACTCTGCCCAACAAGCAACGTATCTTCATTGTCACTGAATTTGATTTTATGCGGGGTCAGCGGTAACTGCATTAACGTTTTGAAATGAATCTCAGATGGTTTAGAAAGTGCAAACATGAATGGGTTGTCTAAAAGATTAGATGATGGGGTGCTGTAAGGGGATTTTTTACAATAGTTTCTTTAATCTGATGATCTCTTAATTTTAGGATATATTAATATCAATATGATTTTCTTATTATAAATGTAAATCAATACTTTATCTTATTCATCATCATGTATCCTACATACACAATTTTGATACCATGGTTATTTGCAGTCATGCAATATAAATACAGAGCGATACTATGCAAGGTTGGATGTGTAATTATTGTTATCTAATCTCACACAACATAGCATACATCTCTGATTGCTTTTTAAAAGAGTATTGTACGTCAGGTTTGTTTAAATGATCATGCATTGAGCCCCCGAAATGTTCTGTTTTATTACTATAGGTTGAATGAGTGTTTCACCAACGTAGATCTGGATCCACTGATTTCTGAGGTGAACAGTGAAGGCAAGGTGACTGTCACCGTGATGCATGGTCCGGTAAGATATAACACTAGATTACATGTCCGTTCTCCGACTGATTCTTCTCCCTTTTTCTGGCATTCCATCGATTCAAATTAGGCTATTTTTTTTAATTATTCATATTTAACCTGCCCAATCGGTTACCCAAGAATAAACAATGCACATAATTTAAGCTTTGGTTTATGTATTTATTATTCTGGCCTGATTAAATTGATCACGTCTAGCAATAGGTTCGTTGTTGATCTGTGTATTGATACGGTATATGAAAACCGAAATATAACAGACATAGATATAACAGTCATGATATTGAGATCATATTATTAAATTTTCCCTGCCTGAAATGTAAAGCTTGTAGTACCTTTCGGTAAATACCTCACCAATGTTTTGAAATACTTTACTCAAATACTCTAGAATTATTAGGGCCTATGTAATCAATTTGAATATATGATTGAAAAAATATATGTTGTATTGCCCTGCTTTTAGTACCTGGGTCAGTCAGCCAAATGTTGTGTTTTTTGTTGGTTGCTTTTTCCCTCTTTGGGCTGATATTTCTCAGTTTTGAATGTTAATACATGTGTTTCAGCGACATCATTCCATTCATATCTTTTCACCTCATATTAAACTATGGTTTACAATGTTGTCTTGAGACGACACTCTGTGCTTCCCAGCTGACGAAGTTGGTTTTCAACTACCTGTAAAACTTGGTAGCAATGTGAAGATTGTTGGCACATTTTACAGGTAGTCCCGGCCACAAAGTGGTCTTTTTACTAACCAAAGAAGGGACCGAAACTGACACAGGAAAAGACAGCCAGACAGTTTTGCATGCAAGAGGTTCAAATCATAGCCTATAATTACAAATGTTTGTATTTAAACTGGCCCACTTCGCTCTTCATTCCTGTTTCAGTTCTGGGGATTGTTCCCAGCGTACGTTTTCTTGAGTCTGAAATCAGTCAAATCTGACAAGACATTTAAACAATTCAAATACATGAATGTTTGAACTCACTGCATTGTATATACACGTACATGAGGCCAGACCGGGGTCTACTTGTTTACGCTAGCAGGATTTCAAACTAGGGCAGAACATGAGTGAGAATTTGGGAATAATTTGATGATTTTATGCATTTATATCCCATTTAAACAAACATAATACATATAATACATATTTTCTTATTCATTAAAAAAAAAATCTTTAAAAAAATTCAAAAAATAAATAAAAAGCCAACAGTAGATTTTAAAAATTTGGGTCGGTCGCAAAGGGCAATGCAACAATTTTTTTGTTAAGCCTTACCTTTTTTGTTAATGACTGAAGGTTAAATAAAATCAAACAAAACATCTCTATAAAAACGATTGTGCATGATCTATTCGTTAACACAAATAGAAATCTGACCCCAAAAAATTACAATCTCCGGAAGCTTAATTTTTTTAATTAAATTCACAATATCATAGAAATTACAAATGCCAAATTTAATAGCAAATCATCCATTGCTTCTTTGAATGGTACTTTTTATATTCTCTTCATTTACACCTACTTTCTTGTATTCTTAGGAATTTCTAAGAAGATTGATGAATGGAAGATAACGATCAAGTAATGTGGTTTCGCCATCAAGCAACATTTTTAACACATTAGAAGGTGACCCTCATCAGACCACGTGATGGCAGCAGACTACTACGGCCTTGAAAATGAAACCTGTCGAATGTGGATGTAACCAGGCTACCCAAATAACTAATTACTAGTATACTAATTGAAGGATCATTAGAGTTAACATGTATGGAATACAGTATCTTAAAGCCTATCTGCACTAGTTTGGCCTGGAGGGATTAGACCTCCCAGCATGGCCACTGACAGGTGGTTATCTCATCATATTAGCTCTCAATTAACGTAAGAAAAAGGGGACCATGCATGGGGGGCGAATGGTCACTAATTAGGCATTGTTTGCTATATAGAAGGCGCAAGTAGCTAGTGCAGTGGGGCTTTAAGCAATTATTGATTATACCATGTCTTGAATCTTTTGATGAATAACTTTATAATTATGGTTGGAGCATATGGAGCTCCAAGATAAAGGTTCAATGCCTTGTGTGCTCTCATCATTCAATATAATAAAAAAGAGGCTTCCTGGTGAAGATGGATTATTATGTTAAAGCCTGTCTGCACTTGTTTAGCCAGGAGGGATTAGACCTCCCTGAAAGGTCTTTGACAGGTGGTTATCTTATCAAATCAGCTCTCAATTAACAAAAGAAAAAGGGGATCATGGAGGACCAACAGGCACCAATTAGGCATGGTTTGCTATATAGAGGGCGCAAGTAGTTAAAGTAGTGCAGTGGGGCTTTAAATCAATCTATGCAATACAACCTGCAGCATACAATATAAAACCTACAACCGACAAGCTGAAGTCCTTAATGTACAAGTAACTACAAAAACATCAAAGTGATTTGATATACTTTATGAAGTTCCGTGTATTCAAAATATACCTGTACTGTAACTATCATTACATTTCTTGTAAATAAAGCTGAAAATGTGTAACCTGAAATATGAAATAAACCGAACTGAACTGAAGTGAATTTGAACAAATCCAAACTCTCTGTTGATTATTTAATAACAACTCCAACTGGTTTGAGTTCTCTCATATTGGCTATACTGTAATGATGATTATAATATAATGCATTGCACAATCATAACATGGTCATCAGGAATCTAATCCGTAAGGTTCTGTTGATATATCCTTCATCACAGTGATACATGTATTCTGTAAGAATTCAAAGGAGCTTTCCGGTATACCAGGATTTATTTCATTCACTACGGGTAAAGTAATTTGTATCACCTTTTTCCTGTTTAACCAACAATACATCCATTATCAAGAAAGATTGTTGAAAATATTGAGTGTAGAAAGTGTATACTTGATCTAGACAAGTTTTAGTCTTATTTCTGTTATATCCAATCAATTCTTGCTTTTGAGATTGAACATGTTTTTCTAACTTTAATAAAATGGTTTGGAAAATGGCGTTTGATGGAACACTTCTCTTGATTTACCGGATTACTGTCGTTTTATGGAACACTTCTCTTGATTTACCGGATTACTGTCGTTTTATTTAATATCATTAGATTGTGTGCCTATTTCCCATCACAATGATGCTATGTAAGTTATGTTTATATTTTTTCTTTGATCAGTAGGTCTGAATAGGACATAGACCCAAGTGATATCTTATAAATTGTCAAAGGTTTATTCTTATCTACCATGACAATTTCTTTCAATTTTTATTTCAAAGATCCATTGCTCCTGTATAGTGTATAAACCATTATATCTTATCAATGGAAAAGAGAAGTAGAATATTGCAATGTGCGTTATATTATATTCTCTTTGTTTGAGCTGTATTTATTTAAAGCATTGTTGTTCTTGCCTTGAGAAAATCTGGAATCATCTAAAAGCAAAGCGTGAATTCCTCTTTTTGTTATATTTCCAATGTTCAACGATTTGCAGGACTGCTGTAATGTGTTATTGATATCTGGAATGTATTGACTATGTAAATATATATATATATACATGTATACTGTTCTCAGCTAAGGAATTTATTTTTGCAATTATATATAAGAATGTATATTTTTGTATGTGAATAAAGTGTAAACACCCATAGCTACTGTACAGTGTTTTAACCATTACATCTAATACATGTATACTCTATTATAAATATATTTCCATTTATGTCTATTTTGTAATGATTGTTTCCATTATTACTCAAGTTGTGATGATTTGCAGCACACCTAAATATGGGAAAGAGAAGTGGAATCTTGCAATGTGTGTTACGTTATATTATCTTTGTTCGAGCTGTTTTTATTTAAAGCATTGTTGTTCTTGCTTTGATAAAATCTGGAATCATCTAAAAGCAAAGTGTGGATTCCTCTTGTTGTTATATTTCCAATGTTCATCGATTTGCAGGACTGCTGTAACGTGTTATTGATATCCGGAATGTATTGACTATGTAAATATATATATATATATATTAGATAGCTTAGACAGATACCGAGATGTGATTGGTCCAGAGCTCGTCACATGTATACTGTTCTCAGCTGAGGAATTACATTGCATTCATTCACGTCTTTCCACAAACATTTTCTATATCTTAATGTATTTTGCAAATATATATAAGAATGTATATTTTTGTATGTGAATAAAGTGTAAACACCCATCTTGCAATGTGTGTTACGTTATATTCTCTTTGTTCAAGCTGTATTTAAAGCGAGGGAGGATGGGATGAAAATAAATGAGAAACAATAAGAAGAAGGGAGAGAGAACGCCAGAGAGGAAGAGATATAAAACAGAATATAAAAATTAAGGAAGGTATAAAGAGAGGATAAAGAGAAAGATAGTCGAGAGGTGAAAATAGAAGAGAAAGAAGAAGAAGAAGAAACAGAGAGAGGGGGAGAATGGTATGAAAACAGAGGATAAAGAAGAAGGGAGAGAGAAAGCCCGAGGGGGAAAAGAGATAAAATGGAAGATAGTTGAGAGATGAAAATAGAAGAGAAAGAAGAAGAAGAGAGAGAGAGGGGGGGGGGAATAGAATATGACATACCAGACGAGATACAATAGACATGTACAAACAAAAAGTATAAACCTGTACTCAAAACGACGAATGTTGTAAATGACTTCCCACAGTTATAGTTAGGATGATTTATAACAAATGGCTTTTGGAATATAGTAATCTTTGAGGTCTTGTGCCGAGAAGCAGTATCAGTGCTTCTTTTCATGGACCACAGGAAATACCATAATTTGGCTCTTACAGGTGCTCTATAAATCGTAGTTTCAGCCGTACTCCAAAATTGATGTCTTCTTTATTGGTTGCAAAATTCCCTCGCATAATAACAACGACCCCCTATACATGTATAGCATAAATATTAGTCTTGTATATGAACAAATGTGGCAGGCAAAGGCTGATTGTGTGGATGAAAAACAAAGTTTATTTTTAAAGAAAGGGGCGTCGACCCAGGTCGGGTCTTGAAGAAAACTGCCAACATTGCATGCTAAGGAGGGCGGGGAATGAGGAAGGGGGGGGGGGGGCTTTGTAATGTTCATTATTTAAGAGCACCAGTTGTTTGAATCCATGATATTTGGCAATTTGCTGTTTCATACAATTAACAACTATTGTGGAGTTATGAATATAATAATACATATCCACCCCCTGTACGCGTATGGCTCCCATCGCAGCAGCTTTCCTGACCTTCTTTTCTTCTGTAATTTCATAGCTTCTCTTCCATTCTGTAACCCTCACTCCAAATCTCAAATTTAAACTCTTTTGTACCTCCCTCCCTCTGCTCTCCACGGCATCCCTCAATCTCCTTGTAATACTGTCACTGTCTACAACATCATATAATCCCCTTTCTCATACCTCCCCCTTTTCCCCATCCGCATCAACTACCTTAATCTCCATCACTCTCTCATTCTT